TATATATATATATATATATATATATATATATATATATATATATATATATATATATATATATATATATATATATATATATATATCTACAGATTTATTGCATATATATATATATATATGCTCATAACCATAAGGAAAGAAGAAAACACGAAGTTCAAACGCTTTCGTAATTCACATCTGAAGTGTCTTGTTATGTTTTCCTTAGTCTGTACTCACCCCTGAAGATGTGAATTACACGAAAGCGTTTGGGAACTTCGTGTTTCTTTCTTTCCTTGTGGTTATCAGCATATACCTAGATTACGCGCACTACAGTGATATATATTTATATATATATATATATATATATATATATATATATATATATATATATAAAGCACGTTTACAGATTTCAGCTTCGAGCTGAGTGCTGTGAATCTCTAATGGGGACTACCCGTAAAACGTTACTCTGACCACCTACGTGATATGGGTAGTCCCCATTAGAGATTCACGGCGCCTTAAGCTCGTTGAACAGGCTTTTTGTGAAATATAACAAAGTCTAGGACTGCTTTTAGTGTCCTGGTGGTACAGTGGTTAGCGTTCCCCTGTCACAGTCATGGGCTCGTGGGCCGTGGGTTCGAATCCTGGCGGGTTGAGGTGTTGATTGCATGTATATATATATACTGTGCACTGATCACTTCGATAGTGCAAGCATAGACAGTGTACAGTAAGGTACAGGTATATAATCCATGTATCTGACTAAAAACACAAGTACTTTTCTCACAGCCAATAATTTTAGCTCTAATTGTCATATGAGGTTATGATTGGTGGAGCTTGATTACCGCCGACTTACCTGTGTAGATGCGTCATGAGGTCCAACTTTACCTGGATATTTTAACGTCCAAGTCTTGTGTGAATCCTCCAGCCGTGGTAGTGCATGATGGGTAGATAGATAGATATACTGTAGATAGATAGGTAGATAGATAGATTAATAGATAGATAGACAGATAGATAGATAGATAGATAGATAGATAGACTGAGGGGACAGTGTTCTTCACAAAGCTGTTTATCTCGTAGGCATGCTTCATGGTAATTGCGTATTGTCATGTATAATATTTTTGGTGTATAATCGATGGCTGTTACCATTATTTATACATATATAGTTATACATACTTTTGTAATCATCATAGATATTAATGTATAAGGATGGATATTACCTATGTATCATTGAGGGATATTATTATTATTATTATTATTATTATTGTAAATTTCATGTGGGAGATTTGTCATTAAGGATAATATCATTGCCTATATTATTTTACCATGAGGGATATTATCATTATTATATTATTATCCTGTCATGATGACTATTATCAATTATATCATATATACAGTGAAAACTCCATATACTGGACCTCTCTCCGTATAATCCGTTAGATGGAGGGTTTCGTATGTCATGAATCCTCGATATAACGTACTTTCATCTTCGTATAGTTCGTTTGATGGAGGTTTCACATCTAACGGACCCTCGATATGAAGGAATTTCCTCTCCATATAGTCCGTTAAATAAAGGTTTCACTGTAATGGATATTCCTCTTATCTCACAGCTACATGTTGGTGACCCTGGCTGGCAGTGTCATGGCCGGCACTTGTGTCACTGCATGGTTAGGATAATGAAAACCAGAAATTAATTAAAATGTAAATAATTTATTTTTATTGCGTAGCGGTACATACTGGACGAAACTGATGAACAACAACAACAAACAACAACAACAACAACATACCACGAAAGACAAACACTCACTGACCTGTTGTGTGTATGTGAAAACTGATGAAGTCAGGCCCCTCTCTTTATTTACATTATGCCATTAACCGGTGTGGACTCTAATGAACTGGCGTCACTCTGTTTACATTATGCCATTAACCGGTATGGACTCTAATGAACTGGCGTCACTCTGTTTACATTATGCCATTAACCGGTATGGACTCTAATGAACTGGCGTCACTCTGTTTACATTATGCCATTAACCGGTATGGACTCTAATGAACTGGCGTCACTCTGTTTACATTATGCCATTAATCGGTATGGACTCTAATGAACTGGCGTCACTCTGTTTACATTATGCCATTAACCGGTATGGACTCTAATGAACTGGCGTCACTCTGTTTACATTATGCCATTAACCGGTACAAACCTTAATGAATTCTATGCCATTAACCGGTAAAACTGTACACTTGCACCTACTCTTTCCCGGGAAAAATAAAATATTGAGTGATAGAAAGTGACTAACAATACACGGACTTTTATTTTTTGTAAAAGAACATTGATGAAAATAAATTTGAACCTACAATAGTAATAATAATAATAACAATAGTTTAGAATTAGAATATACATAATTTTTTATTTTATTTTTTTTTGTACAAGTTAATGTATTTCAGACTGTAGTGAGTTATTTTTCTTTTGTACATTGGAATATACAGAATTATTTTATCTATTGGTTGAAAAGCTGTGATATAATTTCTGTTGTGTGGAAAAACTCAGTGGACAGGAAAGTGCTTTAATTTTTTTTTTATTTAAGATTTCGTGGTTGTTATATGTATATATCATTATTTTTCTGATAAGTTTATAAATTCTCACCAATGTCTAAATTTTGGGGTATTTTATGAGTCATTTTTTGTCTTATACAGTTGAACTATAAAAAGAATATTCTGGTATTATGAGTCATTTTGTCTCATAGTTAAAGTCATAAATTCTGGTATTTTATGAGTCCTGTTTTCTCACAGGTGAATTAATACAAATAAATACCTAAAATATGGTGGCAATTATAACACCTTCCTGGCCATAATATCCTAACAGAGCCATAAATACAATTACACTTTTAACACTTGTATTTACCCCCAACAAGACACTTGTAATATAAAGTTTTAAAACACGACAATGAACCATCTCACGTGATAGTATGTATTTCAAAACATATTATTAAAAAGTATAAACAGAGCATGCTTCTGATACTGACTAAAAATTGAGTTTGAGAAAATATAGAAAAAGTTGAGAGAGTTCTTTTTAAAGCTGTGGAGGGCTGACGGAAATTAGCTTAGGTGAAGCCTCGACCAGGTGAACCCTCGACCAGATGAACCCTCGACCAGATGAACCCTCGACCAGGTGTGTGTATACGTGAGGCCAAGGAAGAATATTGTAATTCATTATTATTATTTTTATTTTAAACATTCTATAAATCGACTAATTTTCTTTTTTGTTAATCGATCACGAATACAAAGGGGGAGACAGAACACAGAAGAGTAAATACTTTCATTATTAATTAATCTACAAGAACGATAATATATATATATATATATATATATATATATATATATATATATATATATATATATATATATATATATATATATATATATATATATATATATATATATATATATGGTCAAGCACTAAGGTTAAATAATAATAATAATAATAATAATAATAATAATAATAATAATAACATCGAAATCATGAGATCATTTTTTCATACATGGAGAACAGACTGGCCCAAGACCGGAGTCTCTCACTGGGTGGAGGGGGACTGACTGACGCGGCCTGTGTTGTTCTTGTTTGTTTATTTTTGTTTTGTCCTTTATAAAGTCCCTTGTTTACCCACGCTTGTCTCTTTCTTGATCTCTGGTTTGCCTTTGTTTACCCTTGTTCGGTCCTTTAAGTTGGGTACACTATGGGAAAGTGTCAACAAGAGCTTTGTCATTACATAGAAATAAGGCTGTTATGTCTGATGGGTACCGTGTCAGGGCTGTCATGTCGGGGCTACCGTGTCAGGGCTGTTATATTAGGGCTACCGTGTCTGGGCTGTCATGTCAGGGATACCGAGTCTGGGCTGTCATGTCAGGGCTACCGTGTCAGGGCTCTTATATTAGGGCTACCGTGTCTGGGCTGTCATGTCAGGGATGTTATATTAGAGTTACCATGTCTGGTCTGTCATGTCAGGGCTATCGTGTCAGGGCTACCGTGTCAAGGTTGTCATAGGGCTTCCATGTCAGGGGTATCACGTCAGGGGTACCAGAGGCCGGTCGTCGCGCCATCACGTCCACTATCGCTAATGCCCTCTTACCGCCTCACACGCAAGATAATTCCTCTCTTTCTCTCGGACCAAACTCATTACTAAAATTCTACAATAATGTCTATTCAGAGTAATTATAAGAACTCATCCTAATCAGCTTATTAATAACAAACAACAAATAGGATTTAGATCACAGTTATATATACACAGCAATATATACATAAGGTATTTACAATATTGTATACATATATGTACAGTAGATACAAATATCTGTGTTCAGAAAAATTAATATATAGACATTCACAACATATTATTGTCAAACTTAAAAAAAGAAGTTAAGAGCATGATTGAGATTCAAGACGGCCTCAAGTAGCCTCAAGTTTAGGTACCAGCCTTGTCCCTAACAGTAGGAAGGACTCTCGCCTCCCCCTACTTACTACCTAAGGTCCTAGCCAACCCTTGTGACCCTTGCGGTACACCAGGTAGTCAGTCCCCTGGTGCAGCCATTCCCAGGAGGTACAGCATCTTCCCTCACAGTGCAGCATCGTCCTAGCAGTGCAACAGACCCAATATAATGCAGCGTTCCCTAGCTGTGCTGCATCATACCTCTAGCGGTGCAGCTACCCCTAGCGGTGCAGCTTCCCCCAGCGGTGCAGCAGACCCTTGTGACACCCAGGGTAGGTGATGTCCCGTCCTTGACGCTCCCTGCCCGCCCACCTCCACCTCCTGGTAGTGTTGAAGGGAGAGGTGTGTGTGTGTGTGTGTTGGTGGGCGGGGGTCGAGGGCAAGGTGTGGTGAAGGTGTACTGGTAGATACACCTCAGTCGACGCCCTGGGTGTGGTTACCACGGGGGTCAGGTCTGCTCACCACCCACCCCCGGACGCCTGCACTCCAACCAGTCGAGGACGTGGAACAGATGGAGACTTGAAAAGAACGAACGACAGTAGCCATGTCGTGTCCCACCCGAAGAGAGTTTTGGAACAGGAGAGAGTGGGTGAGGCGCTCACGTAGAGATGAGGCGAGGCACGGGCGCTGGGGACGACCGAGTGGGGCTCAGCCGGCTTACCACAGCACTACCACCGCCCACGCCCACCCCGCCACTGCTGCTGGTCCCGCTGTTGCTGCTACTGCTGCTGTTACTGGCGGTGGAATCACGACGCTCTGCCTGCAGTTTGACCCACGTCTCCCCGAGGGCCTTGGCGAAGTGGTCGTCAACTGCAAGAAAAACGAGAGAGTTAGTAACATAATCAAAATCCACTCAGATGCAGCACGCAACAACGCCACAGATTAATGACCCGCTGTCTCAGGTCGTACAGTTTTCTCAGGGCATCGACAAGGTGGTGATCAAGGGCTGGCCCAGGACCATGCCCAGGGCGTTGCCTCGGGCCGCTCCCACTTGCAACATCCTCCTCCTCACCTCCTCTTCCTCCTCCTCTCTCTACACTCCTTCCCAGGACGTGCAGTCCCCGAGGGGCCCCGAGCAGGACCCTCACTACCACAAGGTTCACCCCCGTCCTGCCATTATCCCGGGGCCCGTCATTACTCCGGCCTCAACTCATTGATTAAATGTAAAACTGCTCCAACCACGACTGCTGTTGCCGCCACACTTAGTGAAGGTTTAACTTGCACAGCCATGTGAGTTACGTTCATCTTGGCTCACCACTCGTCTACCACACGCCCACTCTCTTCTGCATTACGTTTCTTTATTTTTGGCACTTGAAAAGTCACTGGCCAATAATCCACACTTGACCGTGACTCCTGTTTATTGTTCATCATTGTTTACAGATTCTAGGCTTCTGTAGTTTATATACTGTACTGTACGGTTATATTCGTCTTACAACTTGGTATCAAAGGAGAGGAATAGATAGTTAAGGGAACATCCAAGAGACAGTTGCACCAGAGGATGAGAAATGATAAATGTTGAAACTAAAACCTCACCATTACCTGAGATGTTAGTGATCACGGGTGGGGTGGCCCGGGTCACCCAACCTACCTCAGGCACACCTCTTAATACTACACCTCCCACTACACACACCTTACTATTACCGCCTCACCTCCTCTTGTTGTCATCTTCCTCCTCATCATCATCCGCATAATAAACCATAGCCACCATCATTACCATTATCATCCTGACCACCATCATCATTATTCTCATCGTCAATCTGGTAGGTATCTCTTTTATCTTTTAATCGTCGATGACTATAGCGTATGTATGTACTAACCTCGACGTCTTTAAAGACCTTAGTTATGGGAGTGCGGTGATACATTATAACATCAACAGTTGTCGGGTACAAGTAAGACTGACTGTTTGGTCTTTCAGGAAAACACAGCTTGCAGTTTTGCCCACTAATAGTTTTGTCCAGTTGGTTTAGTTCAGGCCGTGTGTGTGTGTGTGTGTGTGTGTGTGTGTGTGTGTGTGTGTGTGTGTGTGTGTGTGAAAGAAATGATTATGACAATAAGGGAGATGTAGAACATGAATAATGGTGATGAGGAGGAAAATGGTTCTGTAACAGGAGGTAGGCGTAACGATTAGATTAGATTAGACTAAGGTTGGGGGTATAGGCCGCTAGTGTGTGTGTGTGTGTGTGTGTGTGTGTGTGTGTGTGTGTGTGTGTATACGGTGCGTCGTGTCCCCGGGGTACACCCTCCAGTAGGGTTGTACCTCATCCCATACACCTGTACGATTGTCGACCATGACGCCCCACCTGGACTGTTTCCCTGCCTACCTGCAGCTCTCCCAAGCTCCCTCACTCCTTGTCTCACAGCTAAGTTACCCCTCCACTCACTGATGATTTACTGTCGTATATATATATATATATATATATATATATATATATATATATATATATATATATATATATATATATATATATATATATATATATATATATACATATACACGGTTCAGTAGACAAGTGGTGGGGTCTCCTTGGAGGAAGGTAAGCTGTGGGGGAGAGGTAGGCCTAAGTCGGGGGCGGCTGTAGTGTGTGTGAAGGAAGCGGCAGTTGGTAGGTGTAGCAGCAGTAGTATGGCGGCCCTCAGGCGACACCACCGCCATAATGTTAACACAATGTGCCCAGGTAGGAGGAATAAATTTGTTGGGAGGAGGAGGTGAGAACAAGGTTAAGGTTAGAGTTGGCTACCGCCGGGCACTGGTCTCCCTCCCTCCCTCCCTCCCTCTACGACAATCCTCCTCCTACCTCCTCTTCTCCACGACAGTCATTTTCACCCCCTCCCTCTTTCACGTATCTCCACACTACAGTAACAAAACGACGATGATGATAATAATAATAATAATAATAATAATAATAATAATAATAATAATAATAATAATAATAATAACAATAATAATAATAACAATAATAACAACAACAACAACAATAATAATAATAATAATAATAATAATAATAATAATAATAATAATAATAATAATAATAATAATAAAGGTGGTTGGTCACGTTACGCCACATACACTCCCTCCCCTGATTATATCCTATAAGAAGTTGTATATCAGAGTAATAGGTATATATTTTCAACCAACTTGATGCGTACGGCTACCAACACCTGCTATTAACACTGTTATATATGACCTTATATGACGCCAGGTAAGGTGTCATTTACGCCTTTATTCCTGACACCTGGCTGACTCAACAAGCCTGTCAGTCAGTGTTAGCCAGCCAGGTGTTATATACTGTAGTTATTACATATGTAGTACTATAAGGTTATATAAGAGTGCTGGGTTATAGCGGTACACGTAGTCTCCATAATTTACATACCTGACCTATGTGTAACACTCGTGGTGCAGAATGTATCTTTTGTGTGTTGAAGAAATTGTTATTTGTTTTCACGAAAAAAAAATCACGATTTGTTTTCTGCTTCCTTGTTAAACTCTTATTGTCTCCAAACTTTTATTGATTTCAAATTCTTAAGGTAGTTGGTTTTAAACTTTTAATTCATATCAAACTCTTAGATCAACTGTCTTCAGAATTTTAATCATATCGAATTATTATTAGGTCTTGTCTTCAAACTTTAATTTAATAACATATTACTTGATCTGTTGTCTTCAAACTTGTGTAGTTACTTAACAAACTCCTCAGAGGTTTCTTCCCGTATCTTGTGTTCAGTTGGTAAGTCTTCGGCGGTATACAGGGTGGAGACGCCAGGTGGACGCCGCCGCCACGACACACAATCTGGCCGCACAAAGACCCTCCTCCCTCCCTCTATCCCCCATACACAAACCGCCTACACCTTGTTTCCCCCTCCTCCTCCTTCCTCTCCTTCTCCGTCTCCTTCTCCGTCTCCTCTTCCTCCTCCATCACAACCGTACTTCCCCCACATCCCCCTAATGCGTATCCCAGTTTTCCCGTCTCTCTCCCTTTCACTCTCCCATGCTCTCTGTTCTTCTTATTCCTGTTTTATGTTTTCTTTACACTCTTCCAACCACACAGACTTGCCTCTTCCTCCTCCTCCGCTTTACCTGTCTCATATCTCTCTCCCTCCCGCCACCCTCCTCCTATAGTTCCCACACTTAAACCCTCCACTCTCTACCTGCCTCCTCTGTTACTACCTGTGTGTGATTCACAGCGATCTTAAATTTTACGTTTTCCTTTTCTCAGTGTACCGCAGCACCTGGCCTACCTGACAGCCCTCCGCCCGCTCGGTACCTTACTACACACACACACAACTACAGAGGACCCGTGGTAATCTGTCGTAGCCTCTCACCCGTGGTTGGTTATTTCGCCGTATTACTCGTTCCGTTATCGCGTGCTGCCGCTTGTGGATTTATCTTCAGCGTGGTGTGTGTGTGTGTGTGTGTGTGTGTGTGTGTGTGTGTGTGTGTGTGTGTGTGTGTCCACTCTACACCTGCTTACCCCCAACCAGGTGTACACCCGGCTATATCGCGATGCTAATGCTCAGGTGTACAAACACACACCTGTGCTCACCTGCATACGTCTACAAAGCAGTGCTAGAATACTTCCAGTGCGCACGTAAATACATTAATCCGTCAATATTATGGTGGACTGATATCAAATAGTACACATGTTCACATACCACAAGTGTACAGAGAATTAGTCATAAAGGCACACAAGTACACTCATCCACGCTTGAATGAACACACCTGCTGAACTGTTAAATCACCTTCATTATCCGGGTAAAAGTATGAAGGTAATATTGTGTCGGTACTACAACAATGTTTACCTGTTGATGAGCTTACTCCAGGTGATGTCTTCGTTGTAAATAAGTGTGAATCTTTGGTGTTGTTCAGGTGTTTTAGTCTATAAACCTTCACTGGATGGTGGTGGAAGTAGGTATTGTGCCTGGGCAGTGGTAGTGATGGTCGTAATCGCAGATGTGGTGGTGGTGGTAGCAGTAGTAGTTACAGGTGTGGTAGTACTAGTGGTAAAATGTGTTGTGGTGGTAGTAGTTGTAGTAGTAGTAGTAACAGGTGTGGTGGTAGTAGTGGTGGTGGTGGTCGAGGTAGCCAGCCAACCACATGTTGCCACAAGACACACACACACACACACACACACACACCTCTCAACTTAGCTCCCATGACTCAACCCGCCTTGTCCTCACACGTCTCCAGGGAAACCCTCTCCATTCTCTCCTGTCTGTCCGTCCGTCCGTCCGTTTGAAAATCAGTTTCTACTCAATAACTCTCCATAGCCTCTGGTTTTAGTCATGGCGTGAAAGTGTATTATTGTCGTATTGGTGGTAATTTTAAGTCATCTGTGAGTTATAGCCGTCGTGGGTGTCAGTGTTGTGAGAGTTGCCGCCACTCACGTGTTGATGTTCGTGGTGGTGTGATAAATTTTATTATTATTATTATTATTATTATTTTTGTTGCTCTTCTTCTTTTTCTTCTTCTTCTCCTTCTTCTTCTTCTTCTTATTATTATTATTATTATTATTATTATTATTAATATTATTCCATTACTGTAAATTACTATAATAAACACAGGGCAACACAATAACAGGTAAATACAACAATCGTGTCTGGGATGGTGAGCCAACACGCCATCTTAACCAGCACAGCCAACGTTAATTCAGCAGTATTTATATAATTATATTTGCTCCAGAAGACCACGACCACTACTACTACTACCACTACCATTGCTATAACCACCATCACAACCAACATCTCAATAACGCCCGTGACCACACACACACACACACACACACACACACACACACACACACACACACACACACACA